TGCGATATTGCACGTTGATTGGTTAGTGGTTAACCCGTACGTAATTCGGTAAACAACCAAATGAGTAGGTATCAGGAAGTGCGACATACCGAAGGGTGATACTGCGTAGTCACGGGACTTATCTTATCATATGTACGGTTGGTTTGGGTTTTCTAAAAAGTAATAATGTATTAGAAAACCCGATTTCTCACGGATACAACACGGGAGGCGATTGACTACAGCTAATTCAAGATTCATTCCTGACAAAGAAATGGTTATCATTGAATAACGTTGCTCGCGTTCTACACGTCGTTCGTGAAATCTCTCATTACTTCAGTGAAGTAATTACCTTATTTACGTTGAGGGTAAAAGTTGGTAATGTTGGTTAATGTGCGGATACTCAAAGTTAATTGATTTATCAAATAATTTCATTTACTTGCACACAGTGACACATCAATTTCATGAAGAGTTCAGACTTAAATCCAGTAAAAACTGCCAAACAGGATCTTATTTTAAAACAACCAATCTGCGTATACGAGCGAATAATTTAAAAATGATCCCTGTTTGATCATCTTGGTGAGGGAAATCGTTTGCACTCACTGTTCTAATTGAAACACGCTTAATATTTTTGGTGAAACGATGCATGACAAACAAAGGACCGTCAGGCGTAAATGTTTGATTTGGGGATCTCCGAAGCTACGATGCTTATAACCTAAAAAGCTCTTATACACAGTTACGTAATAATAATGACAATCATTTGACTTCTTTTTATTGAATACACATCTGTCCTACTGAATTTCATGAGGGTAGATAGTTTGTAACCATTTAGGCACAGTCTGGGTACAGGTGGCAGGGGAAGAATCGGGTGATGGTGATATTGGTGAATTTGGAATCATTGACCATCACTGTAACGCTAACTTTGTTGCACAAGAAAATCTTAAATGATACAGATTGATGAGCTCGTGGTCACGTGACTTACCGTAACGCACTAAGTAAAGCGAGAAAGTCTCCATGAAACAGTGCAATCAATTCCTTTTCCAACTTCTTGAAAGAGGCATTTTCATCTGCAGGCCTACATAAACGAAAACAAAGCAAAATCAAATCATTACTTTACGCTACTCATCTCAAGAGACCCAACGCGCTGAATCTGTGCCTCAAGCCGTAATGACGAACAATCCAATTGCCATGGACACTCCATGTGTGTAACTATATTGCAATAGTCGTAACATCCGGAAAGCCTGTGATACGCACTTCTAACAACCGTCCAATAGTTAGGTTTATTCGTATTTCATCATTTCTGTGCTATCGTTAGACGTAGTCTACTTAGACTTCTCCAAAGCTTTGACAGGGTTAACCTCCATATATTGCTGCCAAAGCTCCATAATTATGGTGTCCCAGGG